GACCTGCATGCTCCCCACTAGGAGAAACTTGGGGGTCCCACACCCCCAGGGATACTGGTCTCTCAGGTGCAGCAGCCAGAGCCCTAAAACAGAAGAGCAGCCCTCCCTGGAGCCAGGGCCTCAGTAGTGAGATGGACAGGCACTGAGCAGGTGCTTGGGAAGCTGATCCCAGTCCTCTCCTCTCCTTTGCTCCTGGTCCTGCAGCATGGATGTTGTGTCATGGCACCCATGTGTTTCTCCCCTGCCAGCCCCATACCAGACACCCTGCTTGGTCCCTGGTGTCCTTTCCTGGGCCATCCTGTTCCCTCAGCACCCACAGGGTGGGAAGAACAGCTAAGGATCTGTGAGTACCAGGTGCATGGCAGGGCCAGCATGGTATGGGGATATGCCCATAGCTGCAGCAGGAATCCTGATACGGGGGTGGATCCATGGATGCCCCAGTACAGGACCTGTGTGTGCCATGTACATGACAGGGCTCTTGTGATTTGGGGCAGGATCCATGGGTGCCAGGTGCACGGCAGGGCCAACACCAGCATAGGGATGGATCCATGGGTGCCAGATGTGTGGTGGGGTCAATGTGGTGTGGGGCAGGATCTGTGAGTGGCAGGTGCATGGAAGGGTGCACCTTGGTCTGGAGCAGGATCCAGGGGTGCTGGGTGCATAGTAGGGGCACCTCAGTGTAAGGATAGATCCATGGGATCCATGGTCTCTGGGCATATAGCAAGGGCACCCTGATATGGGGATGGATCCATAGATGCCAGGGTGCATGGCAGGGACACCCCAAGATGGAGCAGGAACCTGCGGGTGCCAGGGCGCATGGCGGGGTCTGGAGCAGGACCACTGGGTGCCAGGCATATGGAAGGGGTACTCCAGTACAGGACAGGATCCATGGGTACCAGGGGCATGGCAGGGTACGGGGCAGGACCCGTGGGTGCCATGCACGTGGCAGGCCCCTGGTGGTGGTGGACGCAGATGGAGTGAGCGGGCACGCGTGGGGCAGCTCCGGCGCGGGTGGCGGGAGCGGCGCTCATTAGACGTGTATTATTCATCGGCAGCTTCTGTCGCCTGCCATCTGCTCCGGCTGCGCCGCGGGCGGGTGGCAGCAGCCGAATGGGGCCGACGCGGCCCCGCTCCTGCTGTCACACCTGGGCTGCCACAGGAATCGGCACCGCGCCGGGCTGGAACCCACGCGGTGGCTGGTGGGGTGTAGGATGTCCCTGCTACCCCCTGCTCCATAGGGTGGGTACCTCAAGGAAGGAAGAGTTTGCACCCCCTTGGTCATTCCATGGGTGCTCTGGCCTGTGGCACACCTGGCACTCAGTCCTGGGCAGGATCAGGCCCTTCCCATCGTAGAGGCATCGCTGAGCTGCTGCCCAAACCTGGGACTGGGCTGTACATTCACACTCAGAGCAGGACATTCCTCCTTGGAGCATAGCAGCCAAGCTCATCCTGCATCCAAGCAACACCTTCATCCCCTCACCTTTTAATTAAAACCTTGATGAACTTTATAATGAGAGCATGGCATCCCTGTGGGCTCTCCAGTGAGCTGCCAGTGTGGGAGGTGAGATCCCAGCATGAGGGACGTGCGTGATCCCCATGTCCCCTCCTGGTGCCAGCCCTCAATTGCATCCCACAGCTCACGCAGGAGGACAGGAGCATTCACCAGGCCAGGAGTTTGCTGCTCTAAATTGATAATTGCCAGGTTTTAATTACTCGGCAGCCAAATGACCTTTTGCATCTGCCAGCAAGGCCATGAAACATCTCCCTGAGTGGGAGCAGACATGCAGTGGGAATGTGGTGGGGCTGACACACCACCGGCTTCACCCAGATGGGGTGACAGGGACAAGACCAGGATGAAAACAGGACCGAGGTGTCCAGGGGCAAGAACCCTTCAACATCCCTGAGGAGTGATGGGTACTGCTATCCATGGGCTGGCCTCGGCCTGGGAGTGAGCGTCCCTGGGACAGAGCCATGGTGCAACATCCCTGGGGCAGAGCTGATACCCTGAACCTGGCACAGAGCAGGATCCCTGGGACAGAGCTGGCACTCTGGGCTTCAACCTGGCACAGGGTCCAACCTCCTGCACATGTAGGGTCCCCTTTGCTCTCCCAGGCTGCCCCTGGAGCAACCTCATCCCTCCTTTTTCCCTTTTCTCCTGGAAATAAGGCACCACAGCTCAGCAGAGGCTGGTGGCAGCCCACAAACTGGGCACAGCCCCTGCCTGCACCTTGCTCCATGTGCTCCTGCCCACTGCCAGCCTTCACCTCTCCCTCCTGCGGAAAGGAGCCCTTCTCCTGGTGATAATTACGGAAAAGTTCAGTGCTGAGAGAGACGGGGAGAGGGATGTATTAAAATGCATGCGCACAGCTTGGGCCTCGCAGCAGATGTTGGCATAATTAGAGAGGAAAAAATTATGAAATTAATTTGTGGTTCAATGTAAATTTTGGCATTGGGGGGAAAGCCAACGTGTGCTCCCTCACTGCCACTGGGACCATGCTGGGGGGGGCTGGGGGAGACCAGGCCTGGTGAGGCAACAAGGGGATGGGTAATGACTGCCCTTAGTAGGGATGGGGTTTGGCAGTGCTGCATCCCAGCTCCATCACACTGGGGGTGTGCAGAGGTGGGAAACAGGTTGGGGAGGTGGATAACCAGCCCAAGGGGTTGTACCACCTGCCCAAGGGGATGGATCACCAGCCCAGGGAGATGAACCACCATCCCAGAGAGATGAGCTACCATTTCCTGTAAATGAGGATGCAAAAAGAGGGGATTTGGGGAGAAAAAATAAAAAGCAGGGTCCAGCGATGGCCATGGATTGATGTTTCTGTTGGCTCCCACAAACACACGTTGGGTAATACTCTTGGTGTCACAACCAGCTTAGGGGACCCTTCCTTTCAGGGGAGACAACTGAGGTGTGGGAGGACCATCCTCATATACGTAGTGGTGAGATTCCCAGACCATGCTGGAGCCAGACAAAGCTTTGCTTTCCCCACTCAGCTTTTCACATCTCTTTTTCCTTAGGGAGCTGGAGAGGAATCAGTATCTGCCGCCTCCCCCTGGCTCCCCCAACCCCCTGGCCCTCGGCGGGGGGAGCACAGACTCAGGTTAATGTGCCCATTGATCGGCACATCCTCCTGTCACGGGTCTGTGCCAGAGCCTGTTTCGCCATTCCCGGTGGGTGATGAATGTCCTGTCTTGGAGTGGACACAGCCTGCCATCACCACCTGGGAAATCAGGGTCAGCCCCAGGGTCTGCAACTGTGCTTGGCTGCACTGCGGGGAGAGGGGGGGACTTTATACTGGATCCTTCAACCCCACTTCTTGCAGGTTGCATTTATTTGGGGAGTCCCTGAATTTGTTCTGCTGAAGGAGAGGGGGAACAGCAGGACACGGCTCCCAAAGGTGGGGATGAACCAAATATGGGGCTTGGGGAAGCTGCTGCCCAATTGAGAGCCCCCAAAATTCAATGTGCTCTCAAAGTATGACCCCAAACTGGAGTGAAGAGTCCCCAGCATAGCCCTGAGCACTCCCAGGAATACTGGGGCTTGCACCCCCCTGCCCTCCCCGCCTCTGCGGTGCTGGTTCCCCTGGTCAGCCCAAGGCACCAGGGTCTCAAGGAGCAGCTCCCTCAGGTGCCAAGCCCGGGCTGGAGCCACTCTGTCCCTTCCCTCCACTTCCTCAGCAGCTTCACCAGGGTTGGCCCTGCAGCCTGGGAGTCATTTCTGCATCCCAGTTACTCGGTGGAATGGGTGGACTTGTATCCTTAGGACTTAACTGAGCAATGCTGTTGGTATGGGCAGACTGGGCATAGTGGGATGAGTGAAGGGCAGCACTGGGATGCTGTGGGCACCACTTAAGGGGAGAAACGGAATGGGGAGAGCTCCCCTGCATCCCCTCACCCTCCTCCCGCCGCACTGAGCAAAGCGGGTGAGACAACCAGGCACGGGCACTGCGGGCACGGGCTTGTCCTGGTGCCCGTGTGCTCCTGGTGTGATTCCATCTGGCTCCATCTGCTCCCGCCCGGGCTCGGCGGGACCGAATGTGGGTCGTGGCGAGCACGGGTGACACACCGCGGTGCGGCCGGGCAGCAGCTGATCCCCCCGGGCTGTGCGGGCTGTACCGCCGGCCGGGATTACCCAGCTGCTGCCGAGCTGGCACAGGGACCGTCTCCTCCTAAAGGTTCCCTTCCAAGGGATTACGGATAATGCATCTGGAGCAGCACTCGCTCATCCAGGTTTGTGATTTATCTGAAAATCAAATTCCAGTAATCTCGCCTGCCATCTGGCCCCCGTGGACACGCGGCTGCCCCGGCTCCGGGCGGGAGGCAGCCGAGAAGGTCGGGATGGAGTACTCCATGTCCCTCCCCGAGCATCCTCCGTGGGAAGGACAGAGCGGGCTGTGAGTCTCTGTGGGTGGCTTGGGACATCCCGGGAAGAAGATGGCCCAGGGAGCATTTCTGGGATGATGTGGAGTGCCAGGATGTGTGCAGGACCCGGAGAGCTCAGCCCCTTGCAGGGATACTCCGATATCCCTGTGTCCCATACATCCCTGGATGCTGGGATGCTGGCAGGACCCAGAGAGCTCAGCCCCTTGTAGGGATGTTACTGTGTCCCCACACATCCCTGGATGCCAGGATGTGGGCAGGACCCAGAGAGCTCATTTCCTTGTAGGGATGTTACTGTGTCCCCACACATCTCTGGATGCCAGGATGCGGGCAGGACCCAGAGAGCTCAGTTCCTTGTAGGAACACGGGAAGGAGAAGGTGATGGGAAGGAGGTGGGGACACCTGCCCTGCCCTGGGGACATCCTGGCAGCAGGGATGTCCCGTGCCCCAGCAGGGAAGGCAGAAGAGAGCAGGATCCATCCTTTCCCCTGGCAGGAGTAGCCCAGAGGGGAGCCGGAGCCCCCAGCATTCCCCTCCCTGGCCCTCATTCTCAGCTCATTAAGGCTCTCCCATTATTCTGACATTTTGTGCGCGTCACGTAGCGGGAAGAAGTAATTTACTTAGAAGAAATTAAAAGTTCATTTTAATTGAGCGCACACTGCAGTATGCAAATGCGGGCGCATTATGTACACTGATGCGGAGACAAAGGCTGTAATCAACTGTTAACCCCCTCTGAGCCAGCCCCACGCTCCACCACAAACCCAGCACCACTCCGGCCACTCTGGAGACCCCAGACCCACATTTGGGATGTCCCCTTCCATGCAGCTCCATGTTCTCATAGCAGGGTGATGGATAAACCCCTTGTGCATGTCTCTGTGCCAGCTGGGATGCAGGAGTCACAAAGGGATGCCAGGGATGGAGGTGTCCCCAAATTGCTGTGACGCACTGGGATGGCTTCAAGCCAGCAGAAAAGAGTGGATGGCGGGGCAGTGGGTCTCCAGGGGTGGAAAGTCATTTTGGGGAGCTGGAATGGAGGTGCAAAGGCCAGATGAGATGGGAATACCTGTCCAAAGGCCAAAATACGGCTCATCGGAGCTGTGACAACCCTCAAATCTAGCTATCTCTGGAATGAGCTTGTGATATTCCCAACATCCTGTTGCAATTTTTTAATGTTTTTTTTTACTACCTGTCAGATCTGAGGTTTTTTTAATGGCAGTGCAAATGGAACTGATTCACAGATGCGAGATGACAGCCCACTGCAGGAGACAGACAAATTACCTCCAACCTCGGCTCAAGACACCCACGGACTCCCAAACGAAGAGGGGTGGTAATGGGGGGGAGGTGTAATGAGTTGCCAGTGCTCAACCAGGCTGCCCACCCTGGTCTGTGGGTGCTCTGTGGGTGCAGCAGGTCTGTGGGCATCCCATGCACACCAAATCCATGAGACCCAAAGGGATTTTGGGGATGGCACATGCTCATCTAACACCATATTACAGGTGGATGATGCTAAAATTAAGGGAAATATGAGGACAGAGGTGTCCCTTTGAAGGGGACACACCAAGGGTGACAGGGCAGACCCATCCGTCCTTTGCAGGAGGGATGATGCTGTTGGGAATCCCTTCTCCTGGCTTTGCCAAGGATGGAAGGGACAGACCCAGGATGGGACTTTGCCACCCTGGGGCAGGTGACAGTGGCAGTTTCACCCCAGAACCACATGTGGAGGAGGGCTGGGGAACACCTTGGAGCATCTATCACCACCTCAGCTGCCCTTCACCAGCCCTGTGCTCCCAGGAGCCTCAACACCAGTGCTCCCAGTCAGCTCCCAAAGGCAACCAGGGTGGTCGAGGAGGATTTAATTGCTGCCTTGTAACCTTTGCATCCTGTCCCACGTGCCGGCTGGGTTCCCGGCTCCACAGCTCCAGATGGTACCCGGGAAAGAGTTAAGTCCGCTGTGATCAACAGCAAGAAGCAAGTGGTAAACAGTTTTTCTCTCCCTCTGCTAAATTAATATGCAAATTCCCCCCTCTTCCCTCCCCCCCCTTGCTTCGAAATTAGCGAGGTAGAATGCTTGGGCTAATTATGCATTCAAACGAGCAGGCTTCGTTAATGTGGCACTAAGAGGAGCCTGAAAATGATTGTGAGACGATGAAATTGAAATTGGAGCATGGCACTTCTAATGCATCTGGAGTCACTCTTGCGTGCCCCGGCAGATGTAACCTGGCAGTGACCGGCAGCTCCCGCTGCCCTGCCTGTGCCCGGGCACTCCCACACCCCAAGCACCCCCAGCACCCCACAGTACCTCCCCCAGCTTCTCCATCCCACTCCAAAATCAATGCAGTTACAAGATTTCCCAGCCCAATTCCTCGGGAATGGAGGGGTGTGATGGCCCCACACACCCACAGCTCCCGGCTTGGGGTGGGGATGAGGAATACATGCCAAAGCATTCCCTGAACACTGAGAAGCAGGGTCAGGATTAGGACTGATGGTGCTCCAGGTGTGCAGAGGAGCTCCTGGCACAGCCCTTGGTGTGTCCATGCAGGTCCTGTGGGGTGATGCCAGCATCAGCCTCTGCACTCCCATGGTCCAGAGCATGAATGGGAGCACGTTTCTCATTCCCGGGCAAAATCCTGGCCCCTGAGGCAGCCAGCAGGGCCTGAGTGTGTTTGGTAAAGCTCCACGTGTACTGGAGTTCACATGGATAAGCCTCCAAATGGATAAACCTTCTTCACTCCTGGGGATGCTGAAATCTGATGGCTGCAGGAAGGTCACAGGGGGATTCCCATTCCTGTTGCCATGTACCAGCAGGTTCGGTGCTCAGCAGTTGCTGGCACATCCCAGCAAGGACGAAACTGGTGGCACATCCACATGCCATGTCACATGGCCCATGGCACCACCAAGTGTGAGTCTGTGCCCCAGGATTGGGTGACACAGTGGCATCCAGGGCCAGGCAGGGGCTGCTCCCACGAGACTGGGATCTGCAGAGGAAAAGCAGGAGAAAAGACTTAGGGTGACAAGACAAACAGAGACATGTTTTATTTTTGGAGATGTTTTATGCTGGGGATGAGCAGCCACAGGCTGTGACAGGCACACGGGATGATGAAGGATTCACGGGAATACCAACTCAGGATGTCACCAGTCCCAGCCTCCGCTGGGATAACTGTTCACTGCCATCTGCATGGGCTTGAGTTCAGCCACCCAAGGGCTAAACCCCATTTCCCACGAGAGCTGGCAGCACTGTGGTACCTGCCAAACCAACCCCCCTCTGGCAGGCAGCAGGGATGGAAGCTGGCATTAAATATTCATCAGAGGTGTGGAATTTACTGGAACCATCCATTAGGAGGTAACACACAGTCTGCAGCGTGCTCCTGGCAGCCGGGCCATGCCGTGGTGGGCGGCCAGGAGGAAGGAGGCAGGGAAGGAAGACGAATGCTCTGGAGGAGACTGCGGAACCGTAAACCAGATGCACTGTTATTAATCAATGAGGAGCTACAGACTTTCAGTGCTCAACCACCAGGAGTGAAGAGAAGAAATAAACAGACAAGGAGATGAATAATACCCCGGAAAGAAGGGGAAGGAGTGGGAGAGCAGCAGGGATGCAGATCTGAGAGGAGACAGTCCCTGGGAGAGGGGTGGGATGGAATGGTATGGTTTGGTCCAGAGGAATGCTGAGCATCCCAGACAAGAGCAATGTTGAATGTCCCAGAGGGATGCTGAGCACCTGGGAGAGTGTTGAGCACCCCAGAGGGATACTGAGCATCCTGGAGCAACATCAGATGTCTTGGAGCGATGCTGAGCACATGAGAGCGATGCTGAGTGTCCCACAGGAATGCTGAGCACCCAGGAGTGATGTTGACCATCCCAGAGGGATGCTGAGCACTCCTGAGGACACACACCTTGGCAGAGGAGGCCATGGGGCTCAGAGTGAGCCATGGTGTGCCTGGGCAGGGCCGGGGCAAGGGCATTCCCCGGGCACCAGGACCCACCACATCGGCTTCGCTCCGCAATGTGCCCCGGGGTCGGGGCTGGCACATGGAGGGGGTTGTTTTCCCCATCTCTCCAGTAATTTTTTCCCTCTGACTATGATGCATAGCAGTGCTAATTCGGCACGTTGCCATTAATTCCAGCACAGCTGCTGCTCTCTCCCTCAAGGCATTTCGCTAATACTCGGCTTCAGAGCCTCTCAGCAAATTAACATCATTTGTTCTGCAGAACATGTTTTATTTCTACACTACATGCATAGCTTATTACTCCTCCAGAAACTCGGGGTATGCGGGAGGCAGTGCCAGCGGGCATGGCCCTCCAGAGCCAGCCCTGCTCCCCAACTCACCATGCCCATCCCCACGCAGGCACAGGGACACAGCACAGTCCTTTGTGACACCTCACACTGACCTGAGGTGGAACTGCAGGGATTTTCTCCTGGTACTGGGATGCCGTGGTGCTGTTGGAGCAGCTGAGGCTGGTGATGTGAGGTAGGATGGTGGCAGCATGCTGGATTGGTTACTGTCTGGTACCTCCTGCATCCTTCCAGCCTGATGCTACACCTCAGTGTTCCCACATTTAGAGACAGGGGTGACAAGAGGTCCCAGCAGGCCATGACTTGAGGGCCAGGTTGGGGCTTGCTGGACGTGATGCTGAAGGGCACCAGGAATCCCCAGCGTTAGTGGGATGGCTCTGAACCTCTGGCAGCAATGCTGGGATGGAGCAGAGCATCTCCCATGTGGCCCTTGGTGCTGAGCCCCCTGGAGATCCCAGGGCTGCCAGTGGCGGGTATGACCCAGGCAGGGTGTCACAAGCCAGAGAGGGTGTCCCGCCCACCACCCACAAACCCACAGCCCCTGCTGGCGACAATTTCAGGTCTTTTGCTTTGATTAAGGTTATTTAAGCTTTTTACCGAAACATAAAACCTGATTGTTTGCATAAACAACCTAATTGGATTATGGCGCACAGCATTGCTAATGCTGTGGGCTGGCTGGGAGCCGGCGGGAGCACCGGGAGCAGGGGTGGTTTGGGCAGAGGGAGGGTGACACCCCTCCGTGCCCCACACCGGGGTCTGCACCACCCTGCCCCCTTCTCCCAGCCACGGAGGGACTCTCCTCGGGGTGGGCAACAGCCGTGTAGGGACACAGTGTCCCCAGCACACGGGCCTGGCTGTGCCCTGGCTATGTCCACCTGCAAGGTGAAAGGGGACAAAGACCTCACTCCAGCACGGCTGGTGGGAGGAGGAAGAGGAAGATGGAGGTGGCAAGCGGGAAGCAGGGGGCCGGGAGCTTTGCAGGAATGCTGCCTGCACAGCGTTTCCATGGCTGGGAGCTGCAGAAGGCTTTCATGGCAAGAGGCAGAGAGGCTCCATGAATATTTCATTAGGAAAGCAATGTGGTGTGCTGCAGAGAACATCTGGCTGGAGTCCCTGGAGACCCCTGCCTTGTGCAGGAAGCAGGAACTGTGAAATACGGAGGAAAACGAGGGAGAGGGGGAGATGGGGGGATCATCCCGTGACATGGGGAGCGTTCCTGCCCCTCTGGCCCTGTGATGGGCAGTGCAGGGAAGGTGTGGAGCTTTGTCCTCCGGTGAATGACAGCTCTGGGGAGGTGGAGGGGCTGCTGTGGTGCCATCCAGGTGGAGGGACCTTTTCTGATCCTTCTCCATGGGACATTTTGGGGGACCAGGCTGCAGCAGGGTGCTGTGTTTAGTCCAAATATCCAATGAAGGAATGGACAGAACTGCTCCTCCAGCTTAGAGTTGGGGTTGCCAGGTGCTGACCAGCCCAGCCAGCGATGATGGAGCCTGGGATGGGATGAGATATCTCCTCTTGCCTCCCTCCACATCCCTCCCAGGGACATGCTGATGCCCTTGAAGCTGGATGCTGGGGTCCCTGCCCTGGTTACTGCAGATGATGGATGCTGAGGTCAGGGACCCTGAGGGAGGTTTGTCCTGGTAGGATTGGTGCAGAGTGGACATCACTGGGCACAGCCAGGGTGCAGAGCATCAGGCAGGAATCAGGGTGATGTGAGATTTGGGATTGCCAACAACCCTGCTTCCCTTCAGTGACATCTCCTTTCCCTAGCACTGGACAGGTTTGGCACTTCGAGACCCTTAGCCTTCACATGGTGCCTGTGGAGCGGTGACACCACAGTGTTCCTGGCATCTGCTGCTGGCTCCAACATTGCTTCTGCAGCACGGGGCAGGCAGCATGCTCTGCAACCTGGACCAGCATGCGGCAGCACCAAGGCTCTGTCCTACACCTTCAACCTCCTCCCTAAGGCTCCCACAAGTGCTCACACCCCTGTCTCCTTCACCCATCACACTGTGGCTATGACCCTGGCATCATGCAGGTTATGGTCATGGACCAAGAGCTTCCCAGTGCACCAAAATCCTCCTCTTCCTCCCCAGTATGGTGGTGAGTGTGGGGGACTCACTGCCCACTCTCCCTTTCTCCTCACTCAGCCACCAGGCTCGGCTCTGCAGTAGTCCCAGTTTGGGATCAGGGGACATTCCCCATGTGCCAGCTCTGCTGGCAGCAGGACTTTGGCTCACACCTCCCTGCCCACAGCCCCTGTGTCTCCCAGCCCCGTGCCCCCGGTAGACAAAGCCCAACCACACAAAGCCACAACCTCCCTTGCCAGCCCCGCATGCAGCAAATCCCCTCTGTAGCCACCAGCCAAGCCTGACCGGCACTCAGAGCCCTCGCCCGCCTGTGCCAGACAGCAGTGGAAGGACCAAAGGGCTGCCATGGGACAGGCCCGGCAGGAGAGCAGCGGGACAGCCAGGGAGGCCATGGGCAGCCTGCATGGAGCTGAGCCAGCCGGGATGCGCTGAGCCGGCCAGGATGCACAGCCCCGGCTGCAGACACATGCACGCACACGCACACCCTTGAAAACGAAGGCAAATACCTCTCTTGTCTCCGGCTCCTCCGTTTGCTGCCCATCCTGCCTCGGCCACGCTGTGCCTCTGCCGTGCTGCCCGCTCTCCATGTGCCCACGCTGCCAGACCCTCCTCTCTGCCACCGGTGGATTTTGGCCCCTGCTGCCTGCTGGCGTTTTGGCAGCCTCGCCGCTCCAGCGATGGCATGTGTCCATTATTTTTTTTTTCCTCTCTCCCTTTCACAATCCGTCCTCCCCAGCCTTCTCCGCCGGTGCCTCCAGAGCCGCCTGTGGTGCCAGCTCGCAGGGAAATTGGCAGCAAGCGCGGCACAGGGATCCTCCCGCAGCTGACGGAGCCCTGCCAGGCGCAGGCAGCCCTTCTGCCAGCCACCAGCCTTGGCACGGTGGGCCGGGGGGCCGCGGGGGGCTGCCGAGGCTTGGCAGCCCTTCCCCGGCACCGCGCACCCCAGCCGCCACGGCAGCTCCGCTGCCAAAAGCCAAATGGGGGGAGGAAAAGGGGAAAATGCAGAGAAAAGAGTTGGCTTCGCTGTGCCCAGTGGTGGGGAACCACCAGGGGCCCCTTCCCTTGGCCAAGGCCAGCTGGGCAATGTCCTTGTCCCTCGCGGAGGTGTGGGAGCCTGGCGGAGGTGCCGGTGTCACATGGAGAGGCTCAGCCCCGTCTGTCCCCACTTGTGCCCCCAGTCCAGCCACAAAAGCCCATCCCAGGGATGGCAAGTGCCGACGCAGACCAGCGATGCTGCATGGCGAGAACGGCTCCCATAGACACACCTCTTACCCAGCATCCGTCTGCTGCGAAGGGAGGCCCAGGAAATTGGGAAGGGGAGAGCGGAGGAGGGACTTCTGGTGATGGGTGGGGGGTTTTGGGGTGCCCTCTGGCCGTGTGTTGCTCGACATGGCTGTCTCAGCCTCATGCAGCACAGCATCCCCACTTCGTGCCAAAATCCTGGCCCCGGCAGTGCAGTCATGTCATGGCTCCATCCTGGCCAGCCATCGGCATCACAACCAACCCTGCTTTTCTGGCTTTTCTTCCCCAAATTCCTGGGTTTGGTGTCTTTTTGAAGGGAGAGGTGGGAGTGTGTCTTGGACATCTACTGTAGCCTGAGTTCTCCTGTTGTCTGGCGCCAACAACCCAGGAGGGTCCCTGAGGCCAGGGGACACTGGTGGGAACAGCTGGGCTGGAAGTAGGAAACAGAGCCAGCCCAGTTCCTGTTCAAGTTCTCCCAAAATAAGTCATTTACTGAGAGCCACGCTCACTGGGAGCCATGGGGATCCTAGGGCTGCCCCCTCTTCAGCTCCACAGCAAAGCCCCATGGTACAGCCTAGGTGCACAGAGCACAGCAAGCACATGGAGAGCTGCTGCCATCCCTGTTTAACAGGTTTACCCCCTAATCAGGGATGTCTTTAATGGAGTTGGCAGGAGATACCAGGAGCCTTCCATGGGACAGGATGGGGTATAAGTGGGTCCTCCTGCCATGCCGCCCCCAATATTCCTGTGTGGTGGCACATCCCAGCCCAAGAGCTGGGAACATGGCAGCTCTGAGGATGGTGGTGACTGTGCCACATGAAGATCCCCAGAATATCCTGGTATGCCACTCTGCCCATGTCCCTGTGTCCCCATGCCCCGGTGGCTGTGCCCCAGCCTGCCCGTGTCACACGTGCGCCTGCCATTTCCTCAAATAAGCAGTTAATCTCCATCAATCATAATTCCGTGCAATTATCATAATAGGGCCATTTTGCACTTATCCTCAGCACGTGACACAGGAGCCACTTATGGCTCCACTTCACGCCGAGCAGCTCCGAGCTGCTCCTGTCCCCAGGGAGTCCCGATGGCAATCGTGTCCCCCACAGACCCCTGGGGACAAACCTGTGCCCTGTCACTCCAGTGTGGGTAGTGGTTCTGACAATGGATGCTCATGTCGGGTGGGATGCAGGCATGGGGGGACCTCTGAAATACAGAGGAGAACAAGGGAAAGAGGGAGATCTTGTCCCTGTCTTGTGCCTTCCCATCACAGCAGCAGCAGCACAGGGATTAAACCCCCAAATGGGGACACTTAATCTGGTTTCTCCCACCTTATGGCCCTACCAGCCCTGTCAGCCTCCTGGTTGTGCCTGTGCCACAGGGCGTGTGGTGGGGGACACCCCGCACTGACCTTCTGCTGGCTGGCGGGGAGCAGATTAGGGAGACTGGGAAGTGATGAGGCACGAGGGGTGGGGGATTAGGCTCCAGCAGATGAATGGAGATCAAACATTTCACTCCCCCTTGTTTACAACACCCTCCTGGGCAGCAATCAGGGATCCTGGCATGTGCTCCGGCTCTGTCCCTCCTTGGACTGGGGTAGGATGGGTTTAGGGACACAATTCCCATGGTCTTGGGGTGTCCCAGCGGGGATGGATGGGCTCCCACCTCGCTGTGCTCCATCCTCACCCGAAGCAGCACTGTGTGGCAGTTTCCAGTTCCCCCATGCCATGCCATGCCATACCATGCCATGTCATGCCATCCCACGCCATCCCACGCCATCCCACCGGGATGGAGCCTCTGGCAGCCATGGTGCTCTCCCTGAGCACTGAGCTCCCTGGAACCCAGCGGTGTTTGCGGTGTTTACACCACCCAGTAATTACTTTCCTTTTTTTTTTTTTTTTAATAAATACGGATGTGCCACAAGTAAACTCGAACGCAATAAAAGCTTTCTGCTGGATCCATAATTAATCACCGAGCTGAGTAAGGCGGCGGGGGGGGGGGGGGGGGGGTGGCGGAGAAGGCGGAAAACCCTCCCTCCGCTGCAGGCTGCGGGACTCACACCCGGCTGCGAGGGAGGGAGGGGACAAACCGCGGTGGCATTTTAGGGACATCCCAGTGCTCTGGGGACCATCGCAAGAGCCCCACGAGCCGGGGCAGGGGGGCCATGGGTGAGGAAGGCTGTGGTGTGCCCCGGCCTTGGTTTTCTGGTGTCCGGCTGCTCCACGACATCGGGTGTTCCGCTCCCAGCTGTGATGGCACATCTGGACTGACCCCTCCCAGGGGACCAGCTCCCTCCTCCCGGCCTCGGGGAGCAGCGTGCGGCCCCAGAATGGATGGCAGTGGCCGGCTGCTGCTCGTGGCCGCGGCTGAGCATCGTCTCCGGGGATGTGGCTGCTTCCAGATGGCCGGTGGGCACCAGGTGCTGGGGGCCAGAGCAGCAAAGGGTGGGTCGGGGTGGACATCTGGTGTGCACGGCCAGCTGGCCCTGCCGCCTGCCACGGTCGGGGGGATGGCCCTGAACACGCACCCCCCCCCCCCCCCCCCCCCCCCCCCCCCCC